TTAGAGGACATGAATTTGGTTTCCAGCACCCACATGGTGACTCATAACTGCATAACTCCAGTTCCAGGGGATCCCAGGAATACATAGTGCAAAGATATGTATGAAGGCAAAACCACATTAAAATGATAAAATAACTTTAAAAATCTGTAGCCTGGGCTACACTAACTGACCCTATCTCCAAGATAAAGACAAAAACAGAGGGGCTGGGGATGTAGCTCTGGGGTAGACAGGAACAGCAGCAGCAGACCTAATCCCTAAAAGGTAGTGCTCCTCCAGACATCGCTTATCCTTCGGTGAACAGGATTATTTGTGTGTTCTTTAACAGAAAACATATACAACCCCTCCCCAAAGTTTTCCAAACTTGTTCTGAAGAACCACATACTAGACATCAAGACTATATGAGGATATTACAGATGCAGACCATGGACTTGAACGTCTTAAATAGTGTGCTTAATAAAACCTAGTGGTGCCAGCGTTGGTGGTGCACACCTTTAATCCCAGCACTCGGGAGGCAGAGGCAGGTGGATCTCTGTGAGTTTGAGACCAGCCTGGTCTACAAGAGCTAGTTCCAGGACAGCCTCCAAAGCCACAGAGAAACCCTGTCCTTGAAAAAAAACCAAAACCAAACAAACAAAAAACCCTAGTGGTATCTTTAGGACACCACCCGACTCAGTTTACCTTATCTGAAATAATACAATATTAGTAAACTATCATCAGAATCCATTATGACAATAAATTAATGTAGTGAGATGTTTTACTCTTTTTATTCTTTGAGGGGCCACTGCTGAGCTCCCAAGTAAAGCACACACAGAGGCTTATTATTCTTAGTTATGAATGCCCAGCCTTAGCTTGGCTTGTTTCTAGCCAGCTTTTCTTAAATTATCCTGTCTACATTTTTCCTCTGGGCTTTTGACTTTCTTCTTTATATCTTACTTTCCTCTTACTCCACGGCAGGCTGCATAGCTGGCCCCTAGCATCCTCCCCTCCCTCTTTTCTTGTTCTCTTTGCTCCTCCTCCTCCTCCTCCTCCGTTCTCCTATTTATCCTCCCTGCCTGCCAGCCCCGCCTATCCTTGCTCCTGCCTTGCTATTGGCCATTCAGCTCTTTATTAGACCATCAGGTGTTTTAGACAGGCAAAGAATCACAGCTTCACAGAGTTAAACAAATGCAGCATAAACAAAAGTAACACATTTTTACATCATTAAATAAATGTTCCACCGGGCGGTGGTGGCGCACGCCTTTAATCCCAGCACTTGGGAGGCAGAGGCAGGCGGATCTCTGTGAGTACGAGGCCAGGCTGGACTGACAGCCTCCAAAACAATACAGAGAAACCCTGTCTCGTAAAACCAAAAAATAAATAAATAAATAAATAAATGCTCCACAGCATAAACAAAAGTAACACACCTTAAAATAATATTCTACCACAAATTAAAGTTGTTATAGATGCTAATCGCTCACCCAAAATAGTGACTATATCCAGTCCCCTATTAGCAAACAACTGACTGTATCTAGCCCCCATTCCAACTAGTTGTAAACAAAAAAAACTTCCCTCTTACCAATGATCAAAAACTTAAGATATGAAAATGAGATATTTTCCTCTAAAATAGAAAAGTAATCTAAAACAGTTATGATGCATTTATATCTTCACATACAAATAAAAATAAGAGGTTGAGGGATAGAAAAAAGGTAACCCTATATAAAGTTTTAACTGACACACAAAAACCTGTGGGCTGGGATGCACCTGAGTGCCTGCCTAGTATATGTAGGACCCTGGGTCTGGACGGTGCTACAGTGTTCCCTCATAATCCTAGCAGTTCTGGAGCCACAGACAGAAAGACGTTCAAGGTCCCACACACAGTTCTATGCCAGTTTATACTTCAGGAGACTGTCTCAAAATTGCTCAAAAAAAAAAAAAGCGCTCAATAATAAAGTAGTAACTAAAATTAAAACAATACAAGGCTATATGGTGTGGTGGTACATACCCATAATCTCAACATTTGAGAGATGGAGTCAGAAGGATGGTGACTTTGAGGCCATCTGGACTTTAAAACCACACACCCAGTCTCAAAAAAGCCAAACCAAAAAAAAACCAAACCAAACAATACTTGAGTAGTTTGATTATGTGTGTTATGTATAAAAGATGCACAAAAAACACCTGGTAGGACACGAACCAAGTTATTATGTTAAATAACTGGGGGATAGAAAAGAACGTTTACCTTTACCCACAAACATAAATACTTGATTACTTTGTGTTTTTTATGTACTTGTACATTTTTTTAAATGGGGAAATGCAAATGGAGGGTTGAAAAAAATAATCACCCAACTGTAAGCACTTGTAATGGAAAAAAATTAATAGAAAACTTACAGCAACTGCAAACATATTTTCCTCTTCTAATGAAGACTGTATTCTGTCTCTGGAAAATAATACAAAATGAAAAGGCTTTACTTCACACAAATGCATGAAACCACTTTTTAAGCTGTTCCACATTCTACTAGGCAGAAACAAATAAGCTGCCAATTATCTTAATCGATTAACTTAATTTAATGTAAGATATAGTAGTAAATATGTGATTAGTCTAATCTCAACACCTCAACAGAACTATAGTTAGCATTATAGCCTTTAATGGCAAAATTAATGACTTTCTTTCAGTATTTCATAATAAAAACCAAACCACCAAGTCTCTCTTTCCTGGCTTTCTGCAGCTCAGGCTAGCCTCAGTCTTTCAACCTTTCTGCCTTAGCAAAGGCTTGCCTCAAGCTTTCAATCCTTTTGCCTTAGCCTCCTGGGATTACAGGTGTATATTAGACTAATTTTTTTTTGTAGCTACCTGCTTTATGATCAATACGCTCTTCTTCTCATAACTACTCTTGACACAGAAATGATCAATCTCAAGATTAGCAAAACCTATTCTAAACCTCTCACTAAAATGTTAAGTTAATTTGCCTAACTGGCTCATTACCTCATGTTCATCTCACTCATGAGTTCTATACAACTTTACCTATACAAAGAGGCAAGCAGCCTCCATGTGACCGTCTCTTGTTGAAGGAGCCAGAGCATACTGGCTGTCTTTGAAAACTTCTGCAGTCCAGGTGTTGCTCGGCTCACTATTTTACTCAGTATATTCACCTAAATTAAAAACACAGATGTACAGAGTGCTAGCAGGAATCTTGTGTAACACAGAAATACAAACACATATTGTTTACTGCCTTTCTATTAGGTTATTTAATAGAATGCAATGAAGATTCTCACTACAAATGACCATAATTTGAGCTTAATATCCTTTCCTTTCCCTCCCTTCCTCCCTCCCTTTGCCTGAGACAAGGTTTCTCTGTGTAACAGCCCTGGCTGTCCTGGAACTCACTTTTGTAGACCAGGCTGGCTTCGAACTTCTGCAGCGTGCATGCACGTGTGGAGGCCTCATTCTTTATTTAGTGAGAACAGTTTTTCACTGAACCCGGAGCTGCTCTTTTGGCTATACTTGCTCATCAGCAAGCTTCCTGGATCTCTCCACAACAATGCGCTACAGGTGGTGGGGATCCGAACTCAGGCCTCCATTACAGTCAGCTTTTTTCTCACTGAACTGTCCAGTCTCTCTAGCCTCAGACTTTCTTTTTTAAAGAGTGGATTCCACTTTTCCTCCAAATAAGGCTTCTATGGCCTCAGAATATGTGAGAAGCAGACGTCCTCTGACCCTTTCCCTGCCCCTCACCATGCACTCTCAGTAAGCACAGAACAAGAATGAGCACTCAAGTTACTGACCACAGGAGAGGATTACTTACCTGACTACCACAGATATTTTCATACTCTTCTACAAGATCAAAAACTGTGGTTGACGAGTGCTTCAAGAAAGACTGCAGGAAATCAGAGAACATACTCATGGATGCTAAAACACGAGAGACAAAAAAGGACAAAGGGTAAGCCACATACTTAGAGAAATTCTAATGCTTTAAAAACACAAAAGTAGCTACAAGTCCTTTCCCTCCTTCCAACACAACTGTATTTTTAAGAAATAGTGACTTGCTTCAGGTCGATGGTGGCACACGCCTTTAGTCTCAGCACTCGAGAGGCAGAGGCAGGCAGATCTCTGAGTTCAAGGCCAGCCTGGTCTATTGAGTTTCAGGACAACTAGGGCTACACAGAGATACTGTCTCAAAAACAAAACAAACAACAAAAAAACTTTATAAATTAAGTGTGTTGTTCGGTGGCTTTAGGTACATCCACACTGTAGTGTTACCTGTACCAACACCTATCCACAGAACTCTGTATTTTGTAAAATTGAACCCTGTAACTAATTAATCAGTAGCCCTCCAGCCCATATTTCCCTCACCCCCCAGTAACCACCACTCCACACAGAAGAATCCTCCTGCGTTTATCCCTGAAGTGCTAGGATCACAGGACTGTGATACTGTGCCCAAGGGCCTTAGAATATTTAGATTCTCCATTTTTACTAGCAGTTGTTATTTCCTTAGTTTGATATTCTCCCTCCCTCTCCCCCCACCACACACTTGTTGAGACAGAGTGACAGAGTTCTGCTATGTAGCCCAGGCTGGCTGGCAGGAAATTGCTATATAGTCTAGGCTAGTCTCAAACCCACAAAGACCCACCTGCCTTTGCTTCCTGAGTGCTAGATTATAAGGCTGTACTACTCTGTCCAGCAAAAACCCCACAAAAACAACAACAGCAACAAAACATATTTTGATAAAGCCCAGGAAAAGGCTTCCTTGATTTCCTCAAAGTAACTAGCTACTTAAATCTCAAAGTCATTACCAGCCTCTCCAGGGTCGTCTTCACGTAACATAACAGCACTCAGATTTACGTCCTCGGTTACACTGTGGGGCTCCACATTTGTGCAGAAGCCCAAACGCTGTGACGAGAATGCAGCTGCCCAGTTACTGTCATCCAGGTTAGTCACCTTAAAAAATAAACAAATAAAGGAAAGCAATGGAGCAATTGTCTGATCTTGTTAAGGAAGCTACAAGTTTTCTTTACTTTCTTTGCAGTGTTTGGACGTGTTGCCTGCATGTGTATCTACATACCACTCTCGTACATGGTGCTCACAGAGACCAGAAGAGAACACTGGATCCCCTGGGCTGGAGATAGAGGTAGTGTGTGGAGATGTGGGTGCTGGGACTCGAACCTGAGCCTTCTACAGAAGCAGTCAATGCTCTTAACCAGTATCTGAGGATTATTCTTTTAGTTTTAAAATGATCTTTTGTCTTACAGGCTGGAGAGATGGCTGAGAGGTTAAGAGCACTGGCTACTCTTCCAGAGGACATGAGTTCAATTCCCGGCACCCACATGGTGGCTCACAACCACCTGTAACGAGATCTTATGCAGCCCAAGCCCACCTCCAATGTACTGTGTGGCTGAGGATGACCTTGAACTTGTGATCCTCCTGACTCTGTCTCCTGAGTGCTGGGATATCAAGCATACACCACTAATGGGCCCCTGGCTCTGATTCCTAAAACGGTTTTAAAAAAAAAGGGGGAGATGGGTTTAAGCTTTGACGAAACAAAGTTAAAAGGCAAAACTACCCTTCAGGAAATAATACAGATAACTTCATATGTGCATAAAACTCTCTATGCCTGCTTAATAAACCACAATGCCAAAGACAGAACCATTTTGATTTTGGAATTAATATGCCTTGAAAGTCTTCTAATATAGCAGTTTTTGTTTCCTTCTTTGACACAATGTATTTTTTTCCTAGTTGGTATATTTATCAACCAGGTGATGCCACTGCACATCATAGCGTATGACATTTCTTCTTCTGCTTTCAGTACTGTATCATAGTGATTCCTGGAGACTGCCTCATCCTTCCCCAAATATTCTCTTCCATCGAGAGTAGAAAAGCCCAGCTTGGCTTCTCCTGCATTTTCACAGCTCAGAGCACTCCTGTCACCAAATGTGGGCAAGAGGGTTAGGAATCAATTCAGAGGCACACACAGGTGGGGGTCCTCTAAATCAGTTCAATTTGGATACTGTTTACAGGTAAAGTCTTCTTCCTTACCACGTCTCTCATCTTTGACTAGTCACTTTCTTGTTTTTGTTTTTCTTTGAAACAGGTTTCTCTGTGTGGCCCTGCTGTCCAGAACTCCCCCTGTAGACCTGAGCCTCCTAAATGCTGGGATTAAAGGCCTCTGCCATCTGATCCTTCACCTCATTTTTAAGACAGGGCCTCTCACTGAATCTGGAGCTCAGTTTCGGCTAGGATGGCAGAGAAGTGAACTCCAGGTTCCTCCTGTCTTTTCCCATGCCCCCACACAAGTTCCCAGTAACAGTTCTAGGCTTCCACATTAGTGTGGCGAATCCGAACTCAGGTCATATGCTTGTGAGACAAGCAATTTACCCGCTGACCCCTCTTCAGCTTTCTTTATAATTAAAAATGGCCGGGCATGGTGGCACACGACTTTAGCCCCAGCACTTGGAGGCAGAGGTAGGTGGATCTCTGAGTTCAAGGCCAGCCTGGTCTATAGAAGGAAACCCTGTCTCAGAAAAAGAAATCCAGAACCAAAACCAAACAGCCAACAAAACAGGGCTTGGCTTTAACAGCCATCATCAGTTTTAGAATGTGTTTCATTTGGTTAGCAAACAGCCAGATTCAGGTGTCATTTTCCTTCTGTGACATGACATGCTCCAACATTTGATTTTTGTTCCAATGTCTAACCAAATATATCTCTCCATACTTTCATGATGACTATAACTTTGACTTCCATTAAAAGGCTTTTAAGCCAAATATCAAAGAGCATTATTTATTTATACATACCATGGATAGATTTCCCAAGAACCCAGAAGACTGTGTGTGTCGGGGAGACTTCCCTTCCGTTCCAAGGATGCAGGAAATATCTGGGTGTCTTAGTAAGCTTCGGCTTGGTGGGGTAACTACAAGTAGAAAGGCCAGAACTGTCAACACAGAGCAAGTAGACCAGCAACAATTTTTCTGGGTATGGGGGAGATGGCTCCGTCAGCACAGTGCTTGTGGTACAAGCGTGAGGACCTGAGTTTGATCCCTAGCATCCAGTAAGACACTCTGGCACAGAGGTGCACGCCTGTAATCCCAGTGTCGGGGAGAGGACACAGGAGTCACTGAGAATCTACATTAATCAGAAAGCCCTAAATCCTAATGGGAATCCCTGTCTCAAAAGGCTGAGGAATAACACCCAAGGACTCGACACGTGTGCACACATATATATGCATGTACTCCTGCATACACACACACACACACACACACACACACACACACACACACACACACAACTCCTCCAGTCATACACAGGAACACGTATATATACATGCACCTACATATACACGAACATGAAACACACATATGAAAGAATAATTTCTCAATTTTCAATTAGATTGAGATCAAACACTTTAAATTAGCTTATTTTGTAAAGCTGAGCTTATCATACAACTATTAAATTTTTTTTACTATGAAAGATACTTTCAATATAAGTGTTACCTGCACAAACTTAAAAATTAAAACAACCAATTCGGCACCAGTCAGCAGATCCTTCATTGTCTGATTTCAGAGAGCACAACGAGGCATACAGTGTAGGGGGCATGGACTTTAAAGCAAACCGACTGTTATCTGAACTCTGATTTCGCTGTCTAAATAACAGCGCTGACTCCTCCAAGTCCACCTTCTAGCTTGGGAAAGTAGGTAACAGTATGCCATCATTACTATGTGTTGATATAAAGTACAGTCCTTGTTCAAAAAGACTTCAGATAACTATATCATTACTATTTATGCTTACTTCCTGATACTGCTGCCACATATTTCATTATGCAAATTATACAAATGTTAGCTGGAATTATGACTACTACTCCATTAAATAAAAGCAGAAACAACAATCTTACAAGGTTGTCGAAATGAGCTTGGAGTTCGAAGAATCATTTGGCTTCTTGGTGTAGTATTACCAAAATTTTCATCTTGGTTGGCCTGAACTTTGGAAGAATTAAGGAAAATTTTCCATGTTGAGAAAAAAAATCACTAACAATAACAACAGATTTACTACACAAGATGCATGAATGCTTTTTTTCCCAAGAACAAAGCATTTTACTGCTACCACGCTTCCTGTGTTTATATTAATTAATTCCTTCTGTCATTAAATTCTCAGACCAGAATTAGATAAGATGTACTGACTACTAGTTGGCTACCATGACATACTAGTAGGGAATCAGAGAAACAGAAGTCTTAACCTCACTGAAGTTCATCGAGAGCGTGTATCCCCCAAGTAAAACACCCGTGGAGGTAATAAACCAATTTTACCACAGTTAATGTCTGATGCCTCAAAGAAAATCCCGCAACACTGATTCAAAGCATTCTGCAATGTGTGTAATTCTTAACACACAAAGGATACTTAGAACTCTTTTTTGAGCACTTTGCTTCCTTGCAGTCCTTGTCACTTCTGCCTCCCGAATCACAGGGGATGACATCTCCACGAAGCCACTCCTAAAATAGTGTAATTAAGCTTTTAGACAGCATTTAAAGAAACAACGTTATCGTTGCAGTTAGAACAAAGGACCCTGAGTCAGTCAAAGGACAGGTCACTCCAACAGCCAAACCGTAAACCTTTTTGCCAGGAATACCAGCTAGCAAGTTACCTTTGACAGGATTCCCTGACACTCCAGTGACGGGGATTTAACGTCCCCTTCGCTTATTTTCCCTCAGTACAGTATAACACGGCTTAATTACCCTGCTTGGCTGTCTTCACAACACAATCAGTTCCCCGATGCCAAGGGACTCGAATAACCCATCTTTGTCGCAGGCGAGCATAATCAGCAGATCACAAGAGAAAAATCAACCACCTGGTACCTTAAAGTCTAGGCTGATCACAGTGACATCCACTAACCACGATAAAGCCACTTTGTAAGTCTGTACTGAGATGTCAAGTATTGCTGACGGGCAGTGAAGGACCCGGGATTGCTCACTTTACCATTTCCAATGCCGGAGCACCACCTACCCCGCCCACTTCGGAGAGAACCGCGGCGAGGGAGCGCCCAGCAGATCCGGAGCCGGGGCGTGGAACGCGGGGAGCTGCATCCTCTGCACCCCGGCTGCCCCCACACCAAGCGGCCTTTCCCCCATCAAATCCCGGCAGGGAGAAGGAAGGAGTGAACCTGCAGCCCTCCGCTCCTCCCCCGCTTCCCGCGGAGATAGCCTCACCCACGTCGTCTCCACCGGAACTCACCTGTCCATGGCTGCAGCCTCCGCCACCTAGAACCTGGCAAATCCGCCTGCAGTCCTGCCACCGCGTTTCAGCCTTCCCGCTCTCCGGAAGTAAACCCTTCGACCCGGAAGCATGCCCCTGGTTAAGCCAGCCCCCGCGAAAAGTACTGGGAACGGAGAAAGTGTTCCTACGTGACGCATGCGCAACTATCGTCGACAGAGTAGGCGCAGGCGCGGAAGTATGCCAGTGCGTGGCTGCGTGACTGGGCGGTGCCAGTCAGGCTGGAAGGGGCGGGGCTTGGTGTGGTGCCCCGGGCGGCATTTGTGGGCGTGGTCTGGATGGGGCGTCCTGCTGGGAAGCCAGAAGTCGCTAAACTGGGATTCCAATGGAGTCCGCCTTGGCGTTCCTACGTGGAGTTCTGCGACACTCCATAGGAACGGGCCTGTCTCGGGCGCTTGTGGTGTAGCCTCAGTGGGCGGGTTTTAAAGCTGTTTCCTATCATTGTTATTTATTTTCCCTGTACAGAACCAGCCGTCTTTTTAAAAATTGAAAAGCAATGCATAAATGCCACATTGGCTCACGCCTGTAATACCAGCATTTGGGAGGCAGTGGCAGGAGGATCACCATGAGTTTGAAGCCAGGCTAGACTAAGAATAAGATCCTAGCCGAGCGGTGGTGGCGCACTCGGGAGGCAGAGGCAGATGGATTTCTGTGAGTTTGAGGCCAGCATGGTCTACAAGCTAGTTCCAGGACAGCCTCCAAAGCCGCAGAGAAACCCTGTCTTCGAAAAAACAAAAAAGAAAAAAATCCTAACTTAAAAAATATAGTAATAATTTTTAAAAGTTTTAAGCATGGAGAGACTTAACCCGTTCCAGCATCTTAGAGTGTTAGGTCTCAGGCTCTTCATGTGTCTAGAAATGAGCTCAACCTGAACCATAGAATTTCTGGCGGTTAGATAAAGGCCAGCATCCCCCTGAAACTTGAGGTTTTCCATTCTCAGATGGAGTCCTTCTCTTTAGCTATTTGGCCTCTTCCAATCCCCACCCCCCACTAATTTCTAGTCTCTGCTCTCCTGTCATTAAACTCTCTCACTGGCTATCTTTTTTTTTTTTTTTTTTTTTTTTTTGGTTTTTCGAGACAGGGTTTCTCTGTGACTTTGGAGGCTGTCCTGGAACTCGCTTGGTAGTCCAGGCTGGTCTCAAACTCACAGAGATCCGCCTGCCTCTGCCTCCCGAGTGCTGGGATTAAAGGCGTGTGCCACCAACGCCCGGCTTCTCTCTGGCTATCTTGACTGCTCCAGCTTCCCTAGGTCTGGCCAGGTCTAGTCTGTTTCTCTTTCTGCTCTGGACTCTTCCAGGTGCCTCTGGACCCTTTCTCTTCCTTATGCACAACAAAAAATGTTACCCCTAATGGAATGGTCATGTTGGCACTTTCTTTACTGCTC